TACCTTTGCCACAATCCCCCCCCCCCCCCCCCCCCCATCCCCAGCCATAGCTCTAGTTCGTAGCTCTTACCCTCATCCTAGTCCTGACTGTATGCCTAACCTTAGCTCCAATCATTGCTCTAATCCTAGTCCAAGTTCTGGCTTTACCAATGACCCTATCTCTAGTCCTCAAACTAACCCTAGTCCTTACCCTAGTCTTAAATTAAGCCTTAAAGAAGAAGTATGGGGTCAGGCTTTTCCCCATAGTTCTCCTTAGGGTAACGGGAGGACACAAACTAGCGTCCTTCCGTCACCCTAGGCTCAGTATACCGCGAGCTAAAGCTTGCGGTATACTGAGACGCCGCAGCCGATCCCGACATCGCTGTCTGGATCCGCCCAGCTGCGTGAGTGACAGCTGGCTCTGCCTATCTAGAGGCAGAGCCAGCTGTACCGCCCCCTCCCCCGTCCGTTCCGCCAGTCAGCGCTGGCGGATCGGAGCGGGGAGAGGGGAATCCAGCCCCTCCCCTGTCACTGCAGAGAGCCGTGACAGGATCGAGAAGTGAGCGAACGCCGGTATATGTTCCCTGACCTCCAGATCTACTGAGCCGACCTGTGACAGTCTCATTGTCACAGGTCGGCTAGAACTATGAGGTGAGTGAAAAGCACCCACCTCATAGTTCTCCTTTAACCCTATCCCTAGTCAAAACCCTAATCACTAGCCTAAACCCTAGACCTAGCACAAAACCTAACCCTTGCCCTTACTGTACTAGCCCCAACCCTCTCTCTTCCAGTATTCTTGGGATATACACGGGGTCCTCATCAGGGCTGCAGCTAATGATTATCTTCATAATCGATTAGTTGCCTGATTATTTTTTCAATTAGTCTCTCTCTCTCTCTCTCTCCTTTGACTGGAATCTTTCATCCCAGAACCAAATGAGTTTTGCACATATGGTAGAAGCTGTGATTATTGGCCTAGAACCATCATAGTAATCCTCCTCAGTCCTTATACTCATCCTTGTGCTGTGAGATTCCGGGTACCTCCTCAGCAGCTGCCGTTCAGCCAGGGGGTGCAGAGTGAGGTAACTCAGAGCGATGGCGGCGGAGCCTTTCACCTGCTCC